GCTGGTAATTTCCATTAGCCCGGCTAGAAAATGAAAATTTCAATATGGAAATATTAAAATATGCATTCGCACAACTGCAAACTTTGCATGCAAAATTAATCTGGGGGGAGGTGGGCGTACGGAAAGGCCTGGGCACTCTGCTGTGCTCTGGCAAATATTTAATTATCCATAAATTAGGGCTGCCTTTCATATTACCCCTCTCTAGTTTTCCACATCCAGTTAACAAATTTGTACATTTCCATAGCTGCTGAATGTTGATGTTGTCTGCTAATTGTTTTAAATGCTATGCAGAAGTTTTATTTTGTTATTTTACATTTACATTTACATAGTGTTTTCTATTCATAAACATACCTTTTGTGCTTATTTTATTTCAAAATAAAAATGGTATGATTATGGTATTATGTTTATAGATAGAAAAGTAATTAGAGCAAACTAAAATGAAATTTTTTATATGAAACAAAACTAAAATAAGCTCAATCGAAACTCTATATCAAGTTCATTCTTTCTAGATTTATTGCCTCGGTCCTTCCACTTGGCCCTGCAAATCGTTTCAATTCAGTTCGCTTTCCCACATATCTGAGCCTGGGAGGAGCACATCCTTCAGGTATTTCTCCGGGACCTCCACTTCAGTCTTCGCTCTTGCAGGAGAAAATACAAATTTCTCCGTTTACAATACAAATTATAAATAACGATTTATCATGAGCTGCCGTGGCTGTTGGCTGCTGGCTGCCGGCTGATGCATTTGCCAATTGCCCACCTGAATGCGTCCTGGAGTGCCTTCGCATCTTGGCCAGAAGCAATTGGCCGGGCCGAGGACAAAATCCCGCAGCTGCAGTTGCTCGGCTGGAGGAAATAAATTGCCAATGGCAACGAGAGCTTGGCTTCCAGTCAGCCAGCTCCGCTTTTGTTGGGAGTTTTATGTTTATTTCTTATTTTCTGCAGCCAGACATCGCAGGCACACACAGTATATGCTGGAGTTGATTTGGAAAATGTTTCCGCAGTGCATCTGGGCTTAAAGCGGCCAGAGTTTGCAGCAAAGGAAAAATAACATTTAAATTGCAAGTCGAGTTTCGAAAAGAAAAGTCGAACATAAACTCGGCACATTTGCCGCTAATCGCTTCCCCACAGACGCATTAACAATTTATCTTGCCTTATTTTATGCGAAAACTTTTTCGCCAGCGCCACGCCCATGTAACCGCATCGTTCACCTTCTCCGTTTGCCCCAGAAATCGAATTCCCGAAAAGAAAAACATTTGAATTGAAAATCGTGGCGAGCAGAGAAGGAGCGAGGAAAATATCAACGGCATGCGCATAATTTCAGCGCACACAGGCATCGCTTTCCACGGGGAAATGCGAGTACGTGGCTGCGAGGATAGGGCGAAGGGATTGGATAAGGATTTGGATATTGTGTCTGCCGAGTGTGAGTGTGTGTGCTTAGGTAGGCCTTTGGGGTTTCGATAAGGGAAGCAGCGTATATTTGGCAGCTTAAGGAGGCAAAAGTTCGATCTACTCTGGATGTTTTGTGTGTGCGGAGGGATTGGGATAATGGAAAGGTAAGGAGCACCTTCTTGACATTGCTTATACTGCAATATTTGGATGCTGCTCCAGTGCGGGGAACTTTAAATGAGCTGTAGAAAAATAATATTTATACCCTTGCAGGGTATTATAATTTCAGTCAGAAGTTTGCAACGCAGTGAAGGAGACGTTTCCGACCCTATAAAGTATATATATTCTTGATCAGCATCAGCAGGGGAATCTTTCTAGATATTTCAGGAAGAAATCGATTTTTTGGCCATTTTTGCGAAATTTTATAAGGGGTTGTTACATCATTAAAATGAGCAAAAATGCCCAAAAATTTTGATTTCTTAAAATTTTAAATTTGGTATGCAGTTTTTTTAAATCGAAATTAATGCATTTTTGGCTTAGTTATGATATATACAAACTTTGGCTGGCCAAAGTTAGCTTTCTTTCTTGTTTTAGCCATGTTTAAAAGCTTTCCCTATATGAAGGTATAATCCTTTGGCCATCAGACACATACTTAAATTTAATTAATTTACTTTGACCTAATTCGTTCTATACTTTATAGACTCTTTCTATACTTTTCAAGACTCTATAACTATCTTTCCCATATATGTATCTCCGCTTAAACTCAGATCATGTAACACATGTCAAGTACTGCTAAACTTCAGACAGTTACTTTAGCTTTCAATGGACTGAAAACCCACTTTTCACACAGTAACCCTGCCCCCTTTTAATGGAAAGTTGGAGTTCAATTTTCCGCAGCTGCCAGTTGTCAGCGAGTCGAGTAGAGTCCAGCTTTGTATGGCCCGATCAAATCCAATAAATTCGTAAAATAAAATGTGCCAATAAATTGCTGTCTCCACTATCCGCAAGCTGCAAAACTGAAACTAAAGTTAAATTGAATTAAAATTCAGAGCGCTTAATGTGCCACACACACAGAGAGAGGGAACTTACACACATGTTATCCCCCTTCGAGTCTTCACATGTCGCAGATTTTTCAATAAACTAAACAATTTACGAAAATTGAAGTTTATCTCAATTGTGCAGCTGTTGTTGACAACGCTCTCCGCCGTCCCCTATATGGCACAGTACACTGAACGCTTTGTCGTGCTCCTTCCCGGCCGAGAACTCAATTTGGCAATAAACCGGCATTCAAAGCTCATGGATTCAGGACTCCCCGCCCGAGCCCCAACCGAACCCTATAGATGAGGCACGATGCCTTTGTGAAGTGGGGCACAAATGCGCTTAGTTGCTTTATTGGTCAAGCTGTTGTGCGTGGATAAAACCCTTTTAGTGCACAATTGCTATAAATTCGCTTGGCCCATTATGCTGGGCACTGACGACGTCGACTGGATATGTGCGGAGGGTCTGGCATTGTCATGTGGGCGAGCGATATGCAAGGGATGGCACCCCGGACGCTCCAAGTCGATGTCGATTGACGGAAAAGCTTATTTTAATCTCATTTGACAGCCATGAGCGAAGGAAGCCGAGCAAAGAAAAGCCCGATGAGGGGCGGCGGCGGCGGCGGTGGGTGGAAAACTATTTTCCGGCGAACAGCTGCTGTGTCGAGCCGACCATTTGACAAACGGGGACCTTGTGCCAGGGTCAAAGGGTGCTGCCCAATATAATTTCCCATGATTAAGTCCGAAATTTGCATGGACCGGCCTGACACATTTTGATGACCCAAGCATTCGGAGGCGCTCGGCAGTTTGGTGTTAGTTTATGGCCAAATTGGGTCGCCTGCCTCGTCGTTTTCGCACATGGTCTCTCTATTTTTTTCTTTTTTTTGCATAATTAACATTGGGGTTAGAGAAATGGATGGGGCTTAGGTTGGCTATGACCTCTAATTGGAATCCCTTTGTGCCCTCGCATAATGGTCAGTTGAGCAGCAAAACACTTGAGTGAATGAGTGCTAAAGAAGTGCTTAAGAAGTTGTATACGATTAGTTCAAGCAATTCCGGTCGAGGCTGATGGGATCATTGCGGCAAATTGCTTAGCGAAGCGAGAGCTTCTCCATAAACTAATATTGAGGCGGCTATTAAATATCAAATTATCAACTATAAAATAATAATTTGCTAATAAGTATCTCACTCATACTAAGAGATGAAGCTGAGTTCATTAAATTAAACCGTTCTGACAAATTGAATAGACAAATCCTATGCGGCTGGGAGAGTACATAATTGTCTTTTTAGCATTTGAGCGGGCTTGCCGATTCTTACATTCCAGGCCAACACCTGGTACAAGTTGATTCCCCAATAACAAAAGGGAAACTGTAGAGGAGCCCGATTTCTTCTGCCAGATTGATGATCCAATCGAGAGCAGAGAAGAGATAAAGATACCGTAAACCTTCGATTTTTTCTTTGCCCGACAGCTTAATTACATTCGAACGAAACGAAAATGGCCAAAAAGGCAAATAAACAGGGTCTCTCGGGGGGGAAACGGGGAAAATTCCCGACTTAGATGTGGGCTATATACGTATGCACTGGCATCTTGGCCAGCCCGACTCTCTGGGCTGCAGCCAATCCACTTCAGCACCTCGGGCTTGTGTTGCGGTTTGGCGCTTGTTAATTTTGCACTGAAAATTGCTTTGGTATTTACAGTGCACTTGGCCGAAGGCGCATTCCGGCATGCCTTACAGCCCTCCATTCATTCCCCCCAGAGAGCCCGCTCAGCCTGAGATCCGTCCTTCTGCCATCGACAGCTGTTAAGCATTTTCACGTGCAGTCTGCTGATGCTGCTGCTGCCAATGCCTGATTGTGTTTGCCCTCTCGTCCTGGCAGTCGTCCTGGCCGGCCCCAAGACGAGCATCTCCACGGACTAATCAAGACGGCCACTTTATGCCACAAAGTGTGCTGCACGAAATTGTGTAACCTACTTATCTTTAAACTAATTTGTTTCCTAGGTTGAGGTCCTCCACATCTGTTCTCCTTCTGGCGCTTCGGTTTTATCAACCTCGGTTGTCCGCTTTTCAGCTTTTTTATGGCGGAGCATTTCGTTACCGACCACGACGCGACCATAAAACAATGCAGCATAAAAAGTGACCCCTCCACTTCCCGCTCCACAGCGCGAGGAGGGAAGTACTCAAAGCGAATAAAACAAAAGTAACTATAATAAATGTTTGCAAATAAATTGTGAGCTGCTAAAAACGCACACTCACCCGGGCGAGACTTTGCTTTCCTTCAATTTTTGTTGCCGTGACATTAAAAAGTTGGAGCGCCCTGCTTTATTCGTCTGCAGTGGAGGGACGAAATCTGTTTTATGCTGAGGAATTTGTGAAATTTTGTGACTGATGACTATGGGAAAATGAAATGGTCGGAACTGTCGTACAAGTCCAGTTTCGAAGAGGATGTTGGGGAACGTACGGGGGATTCCCAAGACATAAATATCCATCAAGCCAGAGGAATCTGTATCTGTGGTATGTGTTCAAGTATTTTAAGCAGCCACAGGTGCCGTTTTCGATATCTTGGGTCAACTGCATATATATGTAATTATATACTTTGCTAAAATGTATCTGCTGTGTGTTGTGACAACACAAAATTTCAAAAAATATTAGCCAATATAACGTAATCTTAGTTACTACATCCCGGTTTCCAAATCATTGTGGACCTTCGAGCTGCAGTAGCAATTGTACTCCCCGGCGTCGTTCAGGAGATCGTCGATGAACTGCTGGATCAATGCGGAGCTGGGCTGATAAGTCGACTGGTTGGGGTGACCCCGGATCGTCCGCTTTATGAACTCCTTACAGAAACGGCGCCTAATGACTTCGCGATTCGCCTCCATGTTAGATCGGAGACCTGCAAATAATTTGTATTTGCGGGGATCTGTTCAAAACAGTGCACGGAACACTTACGCGCCGAGAGATTCAAGTGAATCTTCTTCACATGGCTGTCCCGATTGCACTTGTCGTACAGCAGGAAGAGCCGCTGCTGTTGTGTGCCAATCCTCTTATATGCACAGAAGTCTGGTTGATTTGCCAACTGCGAGGCGGGTGCCGGGAAGGGAGCCGGTGTGAAGAACATGGATTTCTGAAAGTCATGGCGCTGTCTCGCAACCATGGCTCGCCTCTGGGCGATGGCCGCCCGCATGCGTCCGTTGTGGAAACGATAGCCGAAGGTAAGGGACAGGCCCTCGATCTTTTTTAGGAAGCTGCAAGCGAGATATTATTTATTCCCTGCAAAGTATTATTATGTAAAGGGTACGTACTCAGATCCCCGCAGGCAATAGATTCCTGGCAGCAAACGATCTTTCCGCATTTTGTGGAGACTCGTGGCCAGCTCGCTGAGCATTTCCTCAGCGTACTGCATTCGAAGTGATTGCATGCCCTGGAAGTCCTGGTAATTCATCCGGGCATGCCAGCCCCGGAAGATAGATTGTATCTTGATGGCCATGTCGTCAAAGTACTCCATAATACGCTCCTGCAGCTCGGCCTCGATCACGGTGAACTTCATGTTTCGTACCCAGAAGCCGCGCCACCATCTGGAAATAGTGGTTGCGGCCAGGTTCCGCTTGCGTAAATCGAGTCGGCAAAGCCAGCCACGCACGTTGCTCTGTATGATCCTAGCGGCCAAGAACTGCTTGTAGTCGAGCAGGACATACTCCAAGTGGCTTCTCTGCTGGGAGCTGCAGTCGGAGGGCAGATTGTCCGAGTCTTGGGGGGTGGACGTCACATTGTCGCTGAGATTCCATTCCACCAATGTGTTGGTGTCTTCGGAGTTAATAATGGACATGGTGTGTAGCCGTGTGCTGTAATTGATATTCATTCAATGTTTTAAGACTTGGTGGAGTGTTTGACAGGACTGCAAAATATTACTGAGGGATATTAGAAAAAAAAATTCTAAGAGGAGCCAAAGTGTATACAACTGGAATATATACTTCTAACAAGGATTTGACCCGGAATCGATGCCTATCATCTATCAAGCAGCGCTGCACTGCCTCTGCTTGTGAATACTCCTCACTCAGCCGAAAATATTGGGCTTACTTGATTCTGGTATTTGCACACAGTATATCTTCTGTTCTCGGTGGGGCGGGCATTAGAGCTCCCTTCGTCCCACCACTTGGCACACATATCGAAGACTTGACGGGGCCGAAACCCACTCCGTAAGCTGATCCAGGTCGCTCTTCGCAACTCCTCCGCTCCAATCAGAGCCGCAGTCAAGCTGTCAGTGGGTCGGCGATGGATCCGCGGGCCGAGCTCCCTGCGAGCGCATTTCCAGCTTAAAGGATTTACATTGAATACCGAATACTGATACTTCATATCAGTTTAGTTTGGCTGGCTCCTCTGGCTGGAAGAAAATCTTCGATTTCCATAAGTGAATTTTCGCCATGCACACAGGCATGTCAAGTAGGCGGCGCCTTACCCACATGTGCGCCACTGTCCCCGTCCCCGTCCCCGCCAGTGGCAGAGGCAGTCGCTGCGAAATGGTGTCATGTACGAAATGTGAAAATCGTGTTGTACAATTTCATGGCTTGGCTTTTGCCAATTTCCCATGTAAAACCGTGCGGCTTTCGCTTGGCGCCAAAGTCGCCGCCCTTCTGCGGCGTAGCTGTGCGTATTTGGTTTGCTAATGGGCAACATTTGGATTTTCAAATCAGTTGGAAAATGCACTGAGCCCGTGTTTTGTTTTCCCGCGCTGCCAGGCCCCGAATCCCCGATGCAGCTTAAAGCGTCCGTCAATGATTTAGACCCGTGGGATTTCCCGAGTTGAAGGCACTAAATCCTGGCGGGGATATTGGATTCATGATGATTGGGGTTGTCAAGACAGGGAAGTGTCACACGGAACCGGATAAGCGACCGCCGAGAGGCAATAAGATTTTCGAAAATTAAAGCAATGTTTGTGATTTACAGAATATGTTGGGATAATAAAATAAACAATCTTATCCATAACATGGTCTCTCTTAAGTAAGACCCTGAGTTGCGATCACCTTACTTTAAACACTTTGTTTTTGTTCTTTAGTTAAAATAACATAGTAAACTTTCCCAAATTCGAGTTAATAATTCAATAATCTTCTTATAAGTAGTAAAACCCTGCCAAATTAAACAAATAAAAAACTAATATTTTCTGATGTATGGTTTATATTTCGAAACAAAAAAAAAATACCTTTGCTCGCAACTAAGTTTAATCCTATTTCCCTCTCCACTCATCCATTTTTCAGGCTAAATCGGAAACGGACTCTAGTTCAATCATCTGCCAGCAACATTGTTCGGTCCCCAGTGGAAGCAGAGTGAAATCATATAAAATACATACGGGCAAAGTGGAAAAATTGTGTAAAAAGAGGAAATGAATATGCAAAAGAGGCGGAGGGGATATGAAAAATGCAAATAACCAAATCGAGTTCAATGAGAAATGCAGCCAACCCGAGCGTATTTACACAATTCCCAGTCCCATTCACATTCCCGGTGCGCGAAGGTGGCGTCGAGGAGCGAATACCAATGCGACTCACTGTGCAGATTGCTAATTGTGGCTGACTGGTAAACCGAAGAAAGCGCCGGCCGGGGAAAATGAAAAATGCATTAAATGCGACCGCGAAATAGAGAAAAAAGTAAAACCAATCAAGCGACGAAAAAAAGGAAATTGCACATGCTGGGCGCACAAAACAAAGGATGACAAAACGAGTTAGCGAATGTAAAAATTGATTTCTGCGGTCTGGGCAGCGGATATTGCTCATACATATATGACTTTAAATCGTTCGTGGTACACAGTGCGATATAAAACATTAAGTGATTTATCAATAAACAATCACATTTGGGGGGCAGAAGGTCAACAAACAACATGCTAAAGCCAGCGCTTAAACTGCGAAGATTCTTCCTCATCGCGGCTATTTATCTAGCCAGCCTGCCAGGTGAGTTGGTTTAGGATAAAAGACCATTATTGTCACCTGTCTGAGGATTTTACATCCTGACGACCCCTTCTCTATCGCAACTATTACAATTTGCCTGAAATATTAACCAAGAATTATGGACCTGGGCTCTGTTGTTTTCCAAACTGAACAAATCACTCGCCCTCAGGTTGACTGCACTACCCGCATCATTTGCGGTTCAATTATGCTGCGGTTTCCATTTGTGAAAACGTTTTCAGCTCCGGACGAGTCCTTGTTTTTCTCCCATTTGTCTGTCACTCGGGAAATGCCTCGACAAATCGCATTAAACCGCAACGAGTAGCACAAGGCAAACCGAAACAGTAGTAGCTCAAAAATAGTGTGTTTCAGGCTAAAAATTTAAAAATATTATTGAAAGTAAGTAAGTATAATAATGTGTATTATAATATGGAACTAAACCAAGGCCATGTTCTACTCCTTTTCAAACAATTTGATTAGCTTATGCACTACTGGAGTTTACATAGACAATGCGTACTATGAAATAACATTCGGCTTGGCAGGACTTTCAGTATATTTGAAACCAGATTCAATGGAAGCATTGTTTTCATATCCCTTTGTTCCATATAGAATTGCACTGACACTGGCCTTAGCTTGTTCCACCTGCTGATTGTCAATCCTATTATGTCCCTGGAGCTTTTGACTGGCTCTTATGTCCGGTCAATCTTCCTTGACAAGTTGGCTTTCGTTGTTCGCAGTCGGATGCCTTATTTAATTCCCGATCCTTTGGCCATCACTTTCGTAATATTGCAAAAGCCGCCTGGCTCCGCCTCTCAGGCAAATGTCGGGTCCACTTTTCTTTGCGAAAATGCTTTTTATTAATATTTTAGCACATTTTCTTTTATTTTTTCCTCTTGGTGCGATGACTGTTTGTTTGTCACTTCGCCGCTCTCCCTCCAAATGCAATATGACTCGGATTTCATTTCAGTTTTCCGACTTTTCCCATATACCCGCTGCCGCCATCTCCGTCTCCGGGCACACTCCGGGCAAAATAGCTGCTGCTGCAATGAGTTGTCGCTTTGTCTGCATTTCCGGCAGCTTTAATTTTATTTCATATTCCCCTGCCCCTCCCTACCCGCCCACCACTTTGAGCGCTCATTCATTGTGAGATTTGGGCCATAATAAAGTTGTAAAAGAGGCGCTCATAAATCCCCATCGTTTTATATTAAAATCTGAAAAAATTCGAGCAGCGCTCTAGGCTGAACTTGAAACTCTCCTAAATGCACGACCGGGAAATTCATCACAGTGACTTCCGGTTCCGGTCTAGGCCAGATCTGCACATCAGCTCGATTTTAATTCGGACCAGCATGCCCCTGACTTGTGACTCCCAGCTGGCATGTGGCCAAGTGACTGTCCTCTGCTTCACCAGTCTGGGCCAAGTTAGTCATATTTCGGATATTCCTGGGCACAACCCACTGAAACAAAGGGAAGCAGCAAAAGGACCTGCTAAAAAATTCTCATCACGTCTCGCGGATCCTTCACTAGACACGCATTTCAATGGCCAACATTGGGGCCCGGCTTTCGATGGGAAAATGTGGCTGGGAGGAAGCCCAGAAATAGCACTGCGCTGTGGCTCCAAAAATGGTTCCACATTCCATGTCAGAATTTTGATTTTATTATTTTCTTAATAGAAAAACTGACAATCACAATGGGTGAGCTCATCATTGATTTGGTATCAGTTGAAATGGTGTCCCAAAATTGCATTGATAACTCTAAGTAAGGATTCAGTTAAAGAATACAATTAAATTAATTAAAATTCGAGGTAATTTATTATTATTATTATTATTATTATTATTATATTTCTTTTTATTTTCTCAATGCAGTTCCTTTTGTTTATCGCCTGCTGCTGCCTATTACTGCCGATACTTTTAGACTTTGCGTTTGAAAGCCGCCAACAAACCGTTGAACGATTTTCAGTACTAAACTCTTGACACCCGACCAAACACGAACACCAAAACACACACACACCCTCCGATACACACACCCACATGTCCCATGCCCACACACTGGCAGCACACTTGTTGTTGTGACACGCACGCGATGCATGTGGCGGCTGCCGGAAATGCCGGGCTCAACGTCCAGGAGCAGGAAAAAGAAGAGAACGCCAGGAATCAACTGTTGGCATGTTGATGTTGACGTCCTTAACCGCCCACCCGGCCCCGCTTAGCTGACATTTTTGCCAGCGTAATCACGATTAAACTGTCAACGGCATACTAATTAGATTTTTATTTTTATTGCGCCATGACAACGCCGCGTGACGTTGTCGCGTCCTTCCGCGTCCTGCGAACACAACCTCCCCCAGAGGGTCCTGCTTAGCTACTCTTTTTTTGTTTTTTGTTTTGCTTTTTCTCCCGCTGTTGTTGTCCTTTCCAGAGGAGCGCGTGCCTCGCATGACCAAGTGGCATTGCAGACAATCGGTGAGAGAGTGTCCTGGACACGGAAAGAAAATTTGATTCGAACAGGATCTGGATGAAAAATAACTGTCAAATCTAGATATTTGAGATATCAAAGAACAAGCAAGGATGAGTTCTGGTTCTTGGTTGGTTATCGAAAGTTAGAAAATTTATTAAGGATATATTTACATGTTTTCTTTGAACTAAAATGTAGTGCATTAGTTCCAAGTACTCAAATTATATCTAGAAACTTTTTTTTTGTCAGTGTTGGAACGACGAATTTCAGAGAGACGGAGATCCCCGGGCGACAGGACCAGATACGGGACCCTTGGCCGGGCACTTTGTGGCGCCTGCTACTTTGTGATTTATGTCTTATCATATTTATGAAAATTATTGTTATTGATGGCATTCAATATTAAGTGAACGAGGAAAGAACGAGCCACGAACCAATTCAAATTGATTGATTGAAAGATTGAGCGTAGCATTTACGTAATTGATTTAAAATGTGTGGCTGCCAGTGGGCATATTAAATAGTTCAAATATCAGAAGATTTGGAAACAAAAATTCAAATATTTACATATAAAATCCTATGCAATTTTTAGATGCTGTGTTTTAAAGACTAAATATTGCCTTTTTTCAGCTGTTGTTATAGCAACTTTACAGTCTCTTCAAATACTTTATCATTTGTTTAATTTAATACCAAAAGTCTCGGAAAATCTAATTTCTGCAGGCATAGGACGAATGTATTCTTTTTCTGAGAGCAGGAGTGTGGCACATCACACGGTCCAAGTAGTCCTTCCTTGTGTGTCCTGGTATAGAAACTGGCTTGTAAAGTTTTGTGTTCTCACTTAAATTTCCAGACGCCTTTCTGTAGAGTTTTCTGGGTTTCCCTTCAGTATTTTTGTAAGGGCAGCGCCCTTCTTTCGTGTAGGCAGCTCTTTGTTTGCCCTGTTTGTTAGGGTCTATTACTTCCAAGCTGTTGAATGCGTCATCAAGGAATCCCGCAAGCCGAGTTCCAACTTTAAGCCATACACCTACGAGCACTTCCCCCCGTCCGCAGGGTTTCCCGACGCCTCTCTTTTGTTTCTATATATATTTTTTTTTCAGATTTATTTTCATAAAGTTTCCGTACAGGAAGTGAAATGTTTTATTCTCGTTGTTGGGTAGTTCACTGGTCCAAGTGCTAATGCGGCCAGACAATGGGGGCGTGGTGAGGCTGGGCGAAACAAAACCCAATAAAAAATGGAAAAATGTTTATTGCAAGGGGAGGTGGATTTAATGAAAGGACGCAAATTACAGAGAATACAATGCAAGTGCAGGCATCAGGGCTATGGCGTTGTGTTTGTTGTGCAGAACTGCCAATTACGAATGCGCAAATATTTTTGCCTACAATTAAAAATAATTATTGTGTCCGGTAATCGCGAGTAAACAAGGCTCTCGTCCTGCGAATTGTAAGGCACCGAAGTGCATGGTATTTTTAATAGATTAAGGAAAGGTTAACGGATTATTGACCATCATGAAGGTTGAACTTTTAGCGGTTTTAAATTTTCCTGTTTTTAATTAATGCATTTTTTATGTTTGACCAATGTAAAAGTTTCCTCAACCTTAAATTATTTAAAATATTTACAAAATTGCTTATTTATATATCTGAAATATTATTATCTTTGAATGGATTTATGGCTAGTACACATCCGCAAACATAAGTCAGAGCCAAAAACAACATTATGTATCAATCTCAATCTCCATCTCACATCAAAGCCATAAAAATCAGCTCAAAGCCGCAGTTTGAATTATAAAAAAGTTTTCGCTCAAATCTGAAATAGTTGCACACATCGAGGGCAATCCTCTGAGAAAGAAACAAAATAAAGCAATACAAATTAAATATTAATATGAGTGGGACACTGCCATGCAGAGGATAAATTTATTTATGCTGATTCCTGATGAATATGCGGGAACTTTCTGCACAGACACAAGTAAAGGCTCCCGTTGGCAGCATCATCATCATCGTCATCGTTGTTGCCATCGTCATTAGCGTGACGTCATGTGGCGTGGCCAACATGACGCATGAAAATTAATATATATATACCAGTATTTATGTGTTGTACACTTCGCTTTGCCTGAGCTGTCGAACAAAGCCATAGAACGTGCTCCGTGGATCTCCCATTGCATATTCATAGCTGTGGAAATATTTTGAATAATGCTAATCTCATTTGGTGCCGTGTGCAAGTGTTTTCACCAGCTTTAAGGCTGCCTCGAACCCATTGCTTGCATTTAAAGTGGAATGGTATACATTACAGCTTGAGCCTTTAATTTAATTTAAACATTTTAATGACAAAAATACTATAAAAAGCACGCTAAGCCTGCTAAACTTTTCAAGGCACAATAGACGGAATCGCCTCGTAAATATTTTGTAACTTTTTCAATAACTCAACTCCGTGTTAGAGAGGCCGGCTTTGGCCGGCATTACATTCACTTAAAAAATCGACGGTACATTCAACTTGGCCAACTTTCACAAAAGAAACCAAGGGACTTTAATAAAAAATTGCCAAGTCCCGCAATCGTCCTTCTTGAATTTTCCTTTCTCCATATTTTTTTATGAGTTCACACAATGAACGCACTTGGCGCACATTAAATAAGCCCGCAAGAAGCATTTATCAAATTTCTCCCTTTTATAAATGCTTTTTTCTTGTTGGCACCATGACTATGTAGTGTTTGCTTTCGTTTCGCTGGCTCGGTGTGTTTTTGAAACATTTATAAAACGGCAGGTGGGCGGGTAGCCAGCGGGCAACAGGCGCGGCAGCTTGGAAGGGAGCTGGGGAGCTCGGCAAGTCCTGAAACTAGCAGGTGGGCAGCATAATGGGAGCCTAATGACAGCGATGAAGATGCCAAAATGATAAACAGCGGCAAAAACAATGGCAATGCGTTGCGAAGTAGGCTAAATAGAATGGTAAACAAACACAAAATAGAAAATGTGTTTGGTCATTAGGACTTTAAAGTGGAGCTGCCAGCTAATTCTAGGTTTGTAGATGTATTTACTATATAGATTTTAAAATACAACAGCACAGCTAACTTAATTTAAAGGGATCTCTCTATACAAACCTAACCTTCTTGAGTTTATAGATAGTCGCAAAATAATTACTAATCATTATAACTTAGTTGACATGTTATCGAGATGCCAGATGATTCATCACTCGGCCAGCTTTCATTTGTATGCGGCTCCTTCATTCCTGGGCGCACTTTAAATGTCAATTAGTTGTCAAATGTTTTTGTGTCCGGTGGTTCGGAGGGAAACCCAGCACAGGCGGAGAAAAAGTTTCTGCTCTCGGCTCCAGGCAAGCGTACAATGTCGAAATAATAATAATTTATAACTATCAATGTCACGAGTTCATGACATGCTCATCAATCAATGCATTAGACAGCTCAACAACGTCGTCCTGGCCTGGGACTACAGCGACTCGCATCGAAATCGGGTCCGAAGGACGTTGGCTGTCCGAGACTTTTCCGCCCCCGGAAAAGTTTTCCCGGCCCCAATCATAATTCTATGTTGCATACTCCACGTTTTTCGCGCTAAAATTGACAGCAATTGCGTGGCCGGGCTATGTGTGCGTGTTGACGCCTTCGAGTGTTTGCCAAACTTGTCGAAATGTTGCTGAAAACTTATTTCGATTTAACATGGCGAACTTGACTCGCTACACGAATTCCCGGGGTGTCCTTTCGAGTGACAGGATAGAGAGATGCTGATTCTGTCAACCGATTGATTGAGATTCATATAGAAGTGGGTAGAATACCAGATACTTGGGTTACTTGGAAGGTATGGGATTTAAATTGAATTATTTTCTAAAATAATTGTTGATTCTTAACAATTATTTAAAGTGGTGAATATTATTATTTAATATTGAAATCGCTTGCTTTTCAACTCATTATCCCTATGGCCATTCAACTCTGGTTGCACATCGACCAGGTCAGGTATTGTGGCCGTAAATTTTTTCACTTTGCCGTAACTTTCCCATTTCACATTGCGTTGCTCGTTTTCTTTGGGATTTTTCCAGTTTGCTCTCCTGGTTTTGTATTTTGCTTTCATTGTTATTATGTTTTCCATTCGTCTCGCCGACTTCCCTTTACTTTTTGCTGCAGTTCGCCCCCTTTTTCCATAGCTTATTCAAATTGACTCAATTTTTGTTAAATTTCCGTTCGCCTTGCCTTGGCCTCCATCTCCGGCTCTGCTCTCCTGCCGTTTGCGGCCAGACTGCTCTGGGAGCTTCTTCGGACTGGCCTTAATCCTGACCAGCAGCAGCAGCAGCAGCAGCACCGGAATGTGCCGGCCCAGAAAGCCAATTTAAAAATGCCAACAATGATTTATGCTCGCCGCCTTCGTCCTGCTCGTAATGTTTTTTTCATTTTTCCTCGACTCGTCGACACGTGGTGGGCAATAATTTAAATGGCCGCTTCTTTCGGCTTTAATTTATGCAATTAACCCATATGCTTAACCCCAGCAAGCCGGGGGCCCAGTGCGATGTAACTAATAAAACGAAATGACTTAATATCCCGGCCACATCCCTTAACGCCTTCGTTCGTGCCAAAGGTGGCATTATCCGCAGCAATTGAGAGTGTAACAACGCCATGCGGGTCCTTGCCAAAGCTAGTGGTAACGTCTCCATTTATATTTTAACCGCCTTGCGTTCGACGCCCAAAGTCATTGACTTCCGCTTGTGGGCCAAGTAATGAGCGTGTGCGAGTATGGTGCTGCCCGTGTTAACAACATTTGCTGCAAAAGGCACAATTAAAGGACACCAGCCAGGGGCACGACAGCGACAAACAGCAGCAGCATAAATGACAAAAGGGAATGTGAAAACGGGGAAGGAGCCAAGAAAATGAAGGGAATAGCCGGAAAAAAGCATGTGTAAGGGAACTCCAAGATACCCTTTCCTTTAAGGCAATGGTTACCACTTCAGTTTGTCTATAAAGTTTAACCTGCATCTCCACAAGTCCAACTGAGCTTCATCGGCGACTGACTCTGCGCCGAGCCATAGAGTGCCTTGGCGACAACAATGATGACTCGACTCGTGGTGCTAGCCGGTCGGTAGTTGCTAGTTGCCGTTGTGTGGCAGTTGCAAAAGGCCATTATAAGCATATGTGCCGGCTAGGAAGCCTAGGAGCTGGCGGAGTGCTTCCGCATATCGGCCACGGATGGCTGAGGGGCAGGCCATTACCGACAGTGGGCTCCCCCGGCCGGGAAAATGTGTGTTATACCACGAGTAATGGGCTTGGTGCTCGTCCTCATGGCCACTATCTACGTTCCTGATCCCATTGAGTACCGACTGACAAGTGGGGAGGTCCTTGTAAACGGTCCCATTTTCCCATATTGGAGGCTGGGGCTGCATATGCAGGCGCAAGTTCATCTCCCTTTAATTGCATTCCCCAGCATTTGTTTGTATTTTGATAACAATTTCACCGCAGACACAGGGCAAACATTGACGGCTGGCCGAAAATTCAAGAGCTACTGTTTGTTTTTCTTCAGGTGCCAACGAATGATTAAAAATCGTTTGCCTAAAATATTTTATCATGCTGTGTGCAGGGTCCATGGAATGTTTTGACAGCCTCTCCGCTCTTTTGCAAACGGTTGGCGCCGGCAATATAAATATATATCCTGATGTGGACAATGTAAATTTTGCTGGTCAAAATGTTTCTCAATTTCGGAATGATTTTACTGCGTTTCTAGTTGAAAATTGAATTGGATGAGAAATTGCTAGTTAAGCTGAAAATGTAAATTGTAGAAAATAAGAAAGCTATATTCATCTATGATTACCCCAACTAAACACCCGCAGAATCATTCAAATGTAAGCTACTCCAAGTTCGAAAAGCTGTGACAAAATGCTCAGCCCAAAAGGCTTCTCACACCCACATTTTCCCCTATAATTAATTACACATAATTAATAAATTTAAACAATCTTATGCGGCGCTTTACAAATAAATCACTCGGCTCAAAGTGCCGCCTCAGAAATTTAATTACACTTTCAGCAGCTAATCACACAATTTGCACCACTCGAAAGGCTTTAAGGAGCCGGTGGCATCGTAAAGGCGGCGAGCAGCACTCGTAAAAGATGCCATAAATCTGCCCTGGAGACGTCACTGGCTCCGGCCCGACTTCGCCTTTGACGGGAGAAGGATCTGGATGCCCCGTCAACTCCCACATCCTGCCGTGGCATCCAATTATAACTCACGCCAGACGTGATAAATCAATAAAAGTGTCCTTGGCAGGAGACTCCACTCCCGTTGAGGTGTTTACTCGCCTGATGGCTTCCCTTGTCGATGTAAATATGCCAAAAAGGGGAAGCATAATGTGACTTAAAGTCTGGCTCAAGATTAATCTCCGGCTTATGGCAAGCTGTTGTGGGTGCTCTGCAGCCAAGTAGTTGGGCTCAAAATAAGTTGTGAGCGCTTGTTAATGGGACAAGAGAATTATCAAGCACTTTTAATTGTCTTTAGGTATTCTTCTTAACAAAATAAAACGTTCTACGCTCTACTTACTCCCATTAAGATTTCTTTAATTATTAATACAAATATTAATTAAATCAAACATTCAATTGAATATCTCGTTATAATATTTAAAAATCATTCCTTGTGTACTTTTCGCTTTACTAACATTTTCGGCTTCTCTCTTAATTCTCGTTTTAGGTAATTGATTGCAAAATTAAATTAATTTCCACTCCTGTGTGCCGGGACTCGCTTGAGTAAGTACGGGCCATATATCACACATTTGAGTAGACGACGGGCAGCGGCGGAGAGGCAAACAACTACTAAATAATTGTTAATGTATTACGAATAATTTATGGCACTATTTCATAAAAAGCAATAATTTTTCAATATCAAACCGAGCGGCAATCCCCGCCCATTGCAGAGCTCCCAAAGTGTTGCACAGTTGCAGCTGAAGGATACGCTCTCCCAGGAGGACGCTGCTGCTTTCGTAATAAGCTTGATAAATAATAAAATAGCATCGGGAGGGCAGGGCCCAGGACGGGCTTTCGGGTGGGGCGGGCCCTGGGAACGACGGGACAAAGTGAAATTTATCATTTTTCATGGCTGCAAGCTGCAGTTTCTTGAAACGTTTCACTCAGCATCGGAGGGGCTCGGCCACTCCACCAGGATACACATTTTGGGAGCTGTACTCGGAGCCGGACTCGGACCCGGGACTCCTTAGATGTCAGCATGCCGGCGTTGTTTTTTCGGCTTGGGGCCACTGGCAAATGTTTGCAAGCAAAGATTAATTGATTCCGCTTGGCTGCATCCAGAGTGTCCCTTCTGGTTTCCCTCGCCGACCAAAATGCTGGGAAAAATGAGTAGCATTGCAGGACCTGGCTATGTCTTTTGCTCCATC